TAAATTTTGTCTAGCTCTCTATATAACCAATATCTAATTGAAATTCGGATATGTTATAATTATTTGTGCACTCTTGATAATTATGTGTGTGCACTTAGTATGAAATATGAATAATGTTTTGGAGCAAAGAAGCTTGGTATTGTTTAAAATATTAAATTTACAATTGCATTACTATTACTATGTATTACAAATACATTAATATAATATTTACAAATATACTAATGCAATAAATTCAATAAAGCATGTTTTAGCATTTTGTCAGCATATGTAACATTCATTATTAGGCATATATTGCCGTCATGTTGCTGTCAACTATAATTGAGTGCAGATTGAGTACCGATGATAACAAGTTGTCTACAAGTTGCTGACAATATGCTGATAATCGTGGATGACAAATTGTCAACTCGAGTTGTCATCAAGTTGCTGTTATAAATCGATGCTGACATGTTGCCACCAATTTGCCGTCACCTGAATTTAAATTCACATGAGGACAACACGACAGACATGCTAAAGCATCTTGTCCCGAGTTTTTCGAAATTAGATGCTGCAACGTTTGTTGACAACAACATAGCAAACTCGCTGCATTTAGCTATCTGGGGAGATAAAGTAAACAGAATTGTTCACGAAACGTTGACATTAACAATCAATGGATCGTGGAAAAAAGACACCGATATAAAACCCGTGAATCTCGTAATAATTTGGTTTTTTGTAACATAATATGAATTATTATTGTATAAAAAATTTAATACTCAATTCATTGTCTATGAAAAAAATAATATACGGACTCGCATCACAAGTTCTGATCAAGGTGTAGAAGAGCCAGCTAAGAATGCGTGAGCACATAAAAAGAGATAGAAAACGAGTCGCCCATCTGCATCCTTGTTCAATCGCGCATGCGAGAAAAAGATAAAAGATGTACCCTTCGCTTTATCATTTTCTTTCTCTTTCTATCAGCTCATGTTTCCACTCAAAGAGGCCGCTATGCCTCTTCTACTCTATGTATATAATCTCTATGGTTCTGATCTTATGCAGTTCTTCGTTTATTTGTCGCAACCTTGGCACCGTTTCATTTAATATTTTCCTTAATTCCCTTTGTAGTTGTTCCTCACAGATTTGTTGCATTCCTGGCACCATATCATTCAATATTTTCCTCAATTTTTGTTGTGGCTGTTCATCGCGGATTTGGTCTTCGCTACTCCGACTGTAAAGAAATATAAACTATTCTTATATTGCAAACTTAATGTTGTAATGTTAAAGTCAATTCTCACATCCGTTTATACACTATTTATGGTAATACCCAAAATGAAAATAATTACTCGTTAGTTCTGATCTTATGCTGCTCCTCGCACATTGCAATTGCATTTGATTGCAATTTTGGTATTATTTCCTTTAATTCCTTCCGTAGCTCACTGATTCGTTGATCTCCAAAATTTGAACTGTGCAAACAATTAAAATATAATTATATTTTCTGTAGTATAAATTAATTTTGTATGACAAAATTAATGTTTAATTTTCAAATTCATTTATGTTATCTCAGTTATCTGATATAAGAAATGTGAATTACTCATTAGTTTCGATCTTGTGCTGCCCCTCGTAGATCAGTCGTATTCTTGGAATCACATTGCTTAATATTTTATTTAATTCCCTTAGTAGCTGTCCCTCACGGATTTGTTTGTCTTCGACACTGTAAGGATCCATAAGTTTAATTAATAGTAAGTTAACTTTTGTTTTACATTATAATAATTGAGAAATGTTTTATGCCATGACAATTTTACGTGATTCGATGCATCGATTATCGTTAAGATTTAACATAATTTACATTAAAAAATGTAAAACTTAATATTTAATTTCTTTAATAATAAGTTTCATTTATTTATGTAGTGCAAACAAAGCAAATAATTACTTGTCTGATTCTTCTATTTTTCGTTTAGCTG